TGTGTAGATTGGGGGGGGTGATTGGGGGTCATGGGTGCGGGGTTCACCTGCGCAGGTCCAACACAAACTTGTCTCCAGCCTAACAAAGTAGACGGCCAGCCTTCCTGTGTACATACCATAAAGCAGCCTGTGGTGGGACTTCACATTACCGAATGGGTTACATAATACAGATGACGATGAGAACTGAGCAATGTAAAGCGCACAGAACACCAGTCAGAGGTTTTATATCCATAAACACCGCAAACGGTAGAAAAACAGAAAACTCCGATCAGCCAGCATGAAGCCAGCTGACGGCTCTCGCCTCATTTACCCGGAGATCATTTTTCCTTTTGAAAAAACAAACCGTTCAGACAACATTAGGAAATTCGAAACGGAAATAAATCCAACACCGATTATTATTTCCTTGAACTTTCGGACCTGTGTCTTTAAGAGAAAGAGGGAAAAGGCTCCAATAAAGCAGAGTCCGAATCGCGAAGCTCCGAGCGCCTTACCTCTTTCCAGTGTGAGCGGCTGGACCACTGTCGCCATGACTGCTGTTTACTGGAGACTGGAGAGAGTACAGGAGCTGCAGCATCACAGACAGAGAGAGGGAGGCTGGGAGTGGTTAGAGGAGGAGGACCGAATCTGCATCCATCCTCCTCATCACCTGCCGCTCTTTGCAGCCACTAAACTATTAGATTTTAAAGTCAGAATTCTGAGAAAAAAAACACTGAATTCTGAGAAAAAACACAGAACTCTGAGAAAAAACACAGAATTCTGAGATCAAAATCAGAATTCTGAGATTAAAGTAAGAATTCTGAGAAGAAAGTCAAAATTCTGAGGAAAAAAACTCAGAAGTCTTAGTAAAAACACAGAATTCTGAGAAAAAAGACACAGAATTCTGAGATCAAAATCAGAATTCCGAGATTAAAGTCAGAATTCTGAGAAGAAAGTCAAAATTCTGGGGAAAAAGTCAGAATTCTGGTGAAAAAGGTCAGAATTCTGGTGAAAAAGGTCAGAATTCTGAGAAGAAAGTCAGAATTCTTGGAAAAAGTCAGAAGTCTGAGAAAAAAGTCAGAATTCTGAGATTCAAGTCAGAATTCTGACTTGAATCTCAGAATTCAGATGGGCACCATTAAGGAAGAGATGTGGAAGCTCTCAGCTTCACTGACAAAGATGTGAGTTGTTTGGGAGGGCCGGTAACACATGTTTACATACAAAATGACAATAAAAGTTGTCAAGGTCTAACTCTAAAATCATTCAACAACACCCCAATGATTGAGATTGATAGGTTTAAATATCATTGCTTTGCTGTGAAAGCTGCTCTTTAACATGATGTAGTTTTTAAGGCTGTTTTCTCTGCACCAGTCCATGCATTTGTACTTTGCCAAAGCCAGTTTTACTACAGCTAAAGTCCTTTATGATGTGCCTTTGCCATATTTTTACATCTTGAGATTGTTTCCCAATTAAATTATGCAGCATAGCTCCAGATCGGTCAAAATAATAAGATTTGCCAGGGATGTCAGTCTTTTCTTAAAGAAGCTATCCTAACCTTTGCTGATTTGACCTTAAACATTGCATGGAGTTTTGTCAGTATGTTTACGTTTGCTGTCCTTCTGAATAATGAGCCTCCCTTCACTGCCTGTTACCAAGGTTTCTTTCCACATTTATATGTGCATGGGGACAATTTCTTCAGGAAGATATGACTATAGACAAAAAACCTGTTAAGCTACGTTCACACACAGGTCTTGATGTTCGATTATAATCCTTTTTTTTGTAAATCCAATCTTTTAGGCATTGTCTTATACTAATAATTAAATGTGATTGATATCACATTGCGGAACATTAAAGCGACCCGCAAACACTGAGGAGGAATGTAGACGTCACACAGCACTTCATGGTTTACAGAATTAATGATGCATGGGACTCCCCAAAAAATATTACTGTCAATTTCAGTCTCTCCGTGTTATCAAGTCTCGAGCAATACAAACTGATAGTATCATGGCCCCATAATTAGTATTTAGGGCCACTTGCAAAGTTATCAGTGACTCCAGATGCTTTGAAAGCTATCGAATACATAGCTGGTTTAGTTCCACATCTGGAAGTAGCTTGAATCTGATTTATTTGGGGAAGTAAAAAGATCTGATTTGCTCCCTTAAGGCTGCCATGAAAAAGTCAGACCTATGTGCCTTTTTTATACTGCAAATAAACAATGGAAAGAAATAAATAAATAGAACATACTATAAAGAACCAGCTTGACACAGTAAATCGACTCAATTATTGTAGTAGAGTGCAGTTTTTGAGAACCTTGCACTTTAATTGAGCAGTGCAGTCATTACTTTCACTATTCACTATCTTTCCATCCATCCATCCATCCATCCATCCATCCATCCATCCATCCATCCATCCATCCATCC